AATATATAAAATGTATTAAAAAGTCATTGATAACAATCAGTAAAGTTGAATGGTGTAAATGATATTGTGGATATCTTAAGTAAACAAGTTTATAACATTTTGCTAGAGTAATTCCATATGGAAAAATTATTAGCGGAGCATGTACCGTATAACATAAGATCCATAACGTAATCATGCGAATGCTTCGCAGAAGAGTTCGCACATATGAATATTTAAATTTTTAGTATAATCCAATAGCGTTTCCGTGTGGATTTTCAACTACCGATTTGATATGGATGCACTATTTTATTCCGAAAACGCAAGAGTAGATGAAACAGACGACTTCTGTAACTATATGTCTTCTAAAAATATTAAATTACTTTAATATAGCTTTTTTTCATTTGGTGATGAACAGTAATGAACTACAACAACAAAATTTTCTTTCATTTTAGTGAATATTTTATTGAATTCACTGGGCTTTAGAAATATATATGGATTTTATAGCTCTGTATATAATTATTGTACTATTTATGTCAGACCTAAAACTCTGAATCTCTGAGTCAAAGCTGTACGAAATTTTTACCGTTCATGCTAATGTGAAATATTTTATTGAATATTTCAAAAGAGTATTGAGTATTTAACTATAATTAAAACAGCTGTATAGTCGCTGATTTAATTAAATTAATTTAAATGAAATTTGGTTGTTGTAATTCTTTAAGTAAAATAATTTTCATTAGTCACAATTGGCTTCAAAAATTATGAAAATAATATAATTTATTTTTTTGTTTCACCACTGCATCATGTAGTGCATCATTAGTGAATAGCAATTGCAACAGCAAATAATTCGGCGATAGCAATTCCGCTCTATGGATCACATTCGGCTCTATTGGCTCTTTATTCAATTCTAAATTTTGAAAAACGATTTCCTTGCATAAAAGTATAATCGAATTCGGTAGCCATGTGTCCAAAATGTGTATGAGTGTTCAACTATTACGTTGACCTCGAAGAATTTTTTTTTCAGGAAATAAGCAAATAAATTTCAAGAGCATTATATATGAGTACAGTTCAAAGGTGATAATCTAATGAGAAAAATATATTTGAAAGTAAGCAAAACTGGAACTCATTTAATTTTTCGCTGACTCATCAAACGACCCCGTACATGTGAGTGAAATATCTATTCAATCTATGAAATTCATGGAATTGGTCATAATTATAAGTTAATAAATGGTAATTATGTCTTTGACAAAATGATTACATTGCATGCTTATGTAGCTTAGTCGATATTGTCTTTAAGTATGGGCTTCACTACAGAAAACGTCTGTGTTATCGCTGTTGTATCTTTGATGGGTGATGTCTGATGTGCTCGCAGTCATCATTACAGAAAAATTACACAAATATTGTAATTTTCAGTACACTTAAGACTCTTGTGTGTTGAGGTTGATTCGAAGTAATTAGTTTACATAATTTATTTTATTTAACATTCATATCATATCATTCAATCTATCTTCTTGTTTATTCATCTGTCGGAACAATAAATATTCTATCCGCTGTAAGTGAAATAAATGAAGTCGTGAATGAATTTCTATTTGCATGCAGGGGTCAAGGGAGTTTGGGGGTTTTTTATTGCAATAATTTTCCAGTTATTAATTTTTCGATTACAAAAGAAAAAACACAAAAATTATTTCCATGAAAAGTAAATCAAACACCAAAACGAATACTGCAATTAGTCATTAAAATCGTAATTTTAACGTCCATTGTCGTATATGTTGTTGTTATTCCTATTATTGCTATTGTTAATATTGGTGTTGTTGTTGTTGTTGCTGTTGTTGTGATATAAATTTTATTGTTGAAATTGAGCGTAGAAGCACTTAATTTTTGCCGTTCACTTACTTTAATTGTTATTGCTACTCTTGTTAAGTAGTTGCAATAAAACAATATTTTGTCTCTTGCTGCAACCATTCGATACGGATTTGGTTGGTGCGGCTGTTAGATACAAATACCAATATCCCTCAATTAAGTATCTCATAATTACGCAAATCGTTACGGTTTTGGAGGCCGTGTGTCAAATTTGCCTTAAAATTGCCTCTCAACTTCAACGTTCATTCCGTTGGTGCTGGCGCTGGCTTTGGCGATTTGAAGTTTGGTGTCAGTCGAGCTGAAAGCGGATTTGGAACAGATTTGAATATATATAGAAATTTCCATTTATTATGCTTGTCGCAAATGACAAAATTGTTCAAATAAAAAATACCGATTTAAATAATATGTAAATTCCTTTGCAAGACTGTTAAGCTTCTAAGCTATTCTCCCATGGATTTCGTTTTCAAATTTTTAGATGTTTGACGAAATTTAGAAATTAATCGGATTTGCTTTAATATATTTATTAGTTTTTTTCTTTTATTGCTTTTCAATGACCTTCAATTTTTAATATTATTTTCTGAAGTGGTCTGCGTACTTCATTTTATGCATTGCGATTTGTGTTACTTGGTTACAGATTCAGTTATCTTTCATTACTTTCACAAATTCTGGCTACTGAGTCAGTAACTAAGGCAATCGCTTGTACTTACTTCTACACGATGATAAAGATTAATTACAGTTTTGTTTTCCTAAGTCATGAAAAGCTCTTAGTGGTTTTGAGGTAAGTAATGACTTAAATTTTCCAGAATTCAGGAGTATTAATGAATACATTTGTAATTCCTCATTGAAAACAGCAGTAGGTAATACAGTTTAGAGGGCAATAGCAGGATAATAATGTGTTCAAGAAAAAAAAATTGTTAAAAAAATACAAGTTCATTTGGTATTCATGTACGAAAATATAATAGAAAAACTTTTATAAAAATTTTCTAATGAATCTCTAATGAAGTTCCATATGCACTCCCATTCCAGTTTGTATGTTTCCTGGGAGGACATGAGTGCCATTATAGCTACCTAGGTGTAAATCAGTATTGCAATTTTACGGTTCCGATAGTTATGTTCAAGATTGAATTTGGCGCATCTATCTATTGTGTATATTTCGACTTGAAAGATATTTATATTTCTTTCTAGGGTTTTGACCAAGCCTTCTCAATTCTTTTTGTTGCCAAAGTTATGCTTTACAATCATCTTGTCCGCGGCATTTCAGTTAATGGGTATCAAATTTCTCAATGTTGGGCTCAAGATCCGTGATCTTGTGTGTAATTACTCTTAGAGCAGTCTTCTTTGCTTGTGATTGCACATGGATGTGAAGAGGTGTGAGTTCCAGACATACTTAGATTGATCACGTAGGATATATTCTCATTGTTCCCGTTATGCTTACACACATAAGTCGCCGTAACTTGTTGTGTGATCTAAACAACTACTGTATAAGACGATTATCCTACCAGCACTAACGTTTTAACGCAAGACTTAACTGCTTAGTAAAAAGTAAACTAACCTTTTGTGTTCGGTAAAAAGTTCTACAGAAAATTGTGACATGTAGGCAATTATAAATTAAAAGATTCAACAACAATTATTCATGTACTCTCAAAATTTTCATTACTTTTGATAAAAACTGTTTTGAGGACTCTGTGGAATGCTTTCTTACAGGCACCACATTCAAAATGACAATAACTCGTTGAATGATAATAACCGCTGTGAACTATGGGGTTTTTTGGTTTAGATATATCCGGTTAGTTTTTACTTGGTAAGGTTATATTTTGTGCCAGTTATTTTCTGCTTTTGCAGTTGTTTTTTTATCTGATAATGCGTTTAAACGAAGATACGGTCATTCCCATTTTTGATATTATTTTGTAATCTTAAAGCGTTGTTATCCGCAACTGGCTTACTATGAGACTAGCAAATAAACAATCTTCTTTGCTATTACTGGGGATAGCAAAAGTACTATTTTTGATCCCATCTCTACACTTTTGTATGAATTGATACCACTTTAGACATCTGTAAAAATATAAGCATTGCTATATACCATAATGTCTCACTACTTCGTGGTATCTTAACTGTATCACACACTTAGCTTTACGATTTTAATCTGAAAGTATAATAATAATTTTATTTCTTAATGGCCTCATTGGTTAATAGCTAAAAAATACATTTTCAAAAAGAAATTATTTTTATATTTTTGGATACTTTAGGTAGTACCCTGAAGATGATTATAGAATATAGGCCATATATTGGTTTAATAAAATTTTTAAAAAATAAAAAACAATTTTATAAAGTATTATTAAACTATTGACTTAATTTGTTAGTGATTTAATAATATTTAAATATTTTAAATTAATATTAAAAAATTATTATTAAAAATTTTTGGTCATTAAATTAATAAATTATTAACCTAAAAATATAAAAAAATTTTGTTGTTGATTTTTATAGAATTAAAGTCTTTTATTGTTCTGGTTTAATAAAGTATAGTATATAATAAATGAAAATAGTGCACTATTATAGCTTGAAAATTTAGGTTGCCCTTGTTTTCATTAAGTATCTAAATTTAATTTGTAATTATATATTTAATTTAATATTAATGATGTTATTATTAAACTATTAGTTAAAAATCAATTAACACTATTTATATATTAATGGCTATATGTAAAATATACATCATTATTCAACAATAATATATATGTACAAATGTCGTATATAATTATAAATAATTATTAAATTTAATAATAAGCCATAAGATGTTGGCTGCTTTTGCCTCGTTAATTAATTTTTTAATATTGTTTTTAAATTTTAATTAGTAAATTATTTAATTAAAATTTAATGTAATTTCAGATTTCAAATTAAACCAACCCAGCTGACAGCAGTTTTTTGAACTTCATCACAAAAGCGTGAGTTAAGCGGAATCAATGGAATAAATTGGAAGAAATTATTGAAAAAAAAATACAAATAAAAATACTTTGTAATTATTAAATTCAAAAGAAACTTATTTACATACTATAAAACTGTCAAATTAAATAAAAAAATAAAAATATTTCAATATTTCCTCAAAAAAAAAAGAAAAACGAATGTCGCTGCAAGGACTTCGCTTTCATTTTGTCCAAAAAGTGAAATTCTCAACCTAAAATCTGCATAATTCTTGAGCTTAAGTACACAATACCCAATCTGTTCCGATAACGACTTCAGTGCAAAACAGCAAAACAGCAAAGCAGAAAACTTATTTTAATTTCCCTTAACGTCAGATACAATTTTTAAATCCATAAATGTAAGACGAAACGTGACGTGTGTTGCGTGCTTTAATGCCTTTTATTTTTTAAATACTTTTGCTTTAGCGAAACCAGATAAATAGCAAAATAATAGTGATAATCGCTGCTGAAAGCAAAAAGTAAATAAGTTGAAAAGTCATTAAAATATTCAATCAAAATTTTACTTCTCAACATTTACCTCAACTCGAGCAAGTAATCGCTGCCGGTAATTCTACGGAACACGACGTGTACGCGAGTGTATCAAAAATTTTCTCCGCCTTGTCCATTGAGTCGTCTTGTATCGTGTATCTTGTATCTTGTATCTTCTTTCTTATATTTTTTATCTGATTATCGGTTTTGTCGTTGTTTCGTGGGTTGCTATTGCGGCCCTTTCACTAATTCGCGTACGTGTAATCTTTTGCGTTCATTTTATGCAGCGAAGAGATACTTCGATTATTTCGATTACTTTTCTGGAATAAGCTGAGCCAACACAAGTCAACTTGAACGGAGTTAATTTAAGTATTGCACCGCAAACATCTGAAACAAATAAGGTATGTTTAAATATTTAAAATTATTTTTTTTTCTTATATCCCCTACCGACTTTAAGTACATTAAATAATGAAATAAATATTTTAATCAAATATTCACGAGTCTCTCTGTGTCCTCTACATATAGACGTTTTTTGTACTTCTATTGGGCTTGAGTAAAATGATATAATGAGTACCTCGGCCTTACTCTCTCTCAAGACAAAAAAGTGTTAACTACTATAATAAAGTATAATTTACTTTCTTTAGTAATTGAAAATTGGTAAGACAAAAAAATACTTGTCAACTTGGTTTGTTAACTGAAAGATAGTTTTAACAGGTTTCAATTTGATATGCATAAGATTCAGCCATAGTACATTTGTAGATAACGCAACTATACTATATTATATCTCTACTAATAATAGTTCTTCAGTAATAGTTCGTTGCTTTATCTACAAAAATACTATGACTGAATCTTATGGATGTCTATAAGATACTATAATATACTATATATATAGTATATGTTATATATACTATTATATATACATATAGCATAATATAGTATGGTAGTATATTATAGTATAACAAATCATTATCTATGAATCAACATTCAATATTCATTCCGATACTCGTATAATACCAGAATAAATCGATAGGATGGCTTTTGAAAAGTAATTTGTATTTGTATTCCTATGAACATGTTGAAAAAGTCAATATTTTGACTTTTGAATACTTGAGGAGTTGTGACTATTTCCACAGGTAAGGGAAAAAACACTCCGGGGACACCGTTATAATACGATTAAACCTATAACAGCCAAATTGATTTTTGCTTTAAATACTATTCCGGAAATTGACTTTAACAATTTTTCACAAAATTGACAAAAATGTTGACATAATTGTATTATCCTGAGAGGAGGTTACACTAAAACCGATAAAATGGATTTGTTTTAAAAGAATACGAAAGAAATTTTACTTTTTTATTTTATTAGAGTGAGCAAAAAAAGGAGCGCTAAACATAACATCTATGGAAGTTTTTTATATTGCATACTGAATGCTCTATTAGAGAAGCGAAGAGATGCTCCTGTATCCAGAGTTGCTTCTTCCATTTGGTTAACAATTTAACAATGTTGTGTTAGTGGTCTTGAACCTGTTTGTTCGATTTTAGTTTGTTCAATTTTCGCGTTTTAAGCCTATTATACGTCCAATTTAGGTGGTCGGCGTGTCATACTCTTGGAAATGGAGTGATGAGCTTTTCGCTATAAATACATATATATATGTATTTACAAACATTTTTCAAAATGAAAAGCATAAAGTTAGTTCAGCTATTCCAAATTTTTAATTTCAATAGCACTGAGCTATAAAAAGTGAAATAAAAAAAATGACAACAATAATATATGTAAAAAATAGATAAAATAGATATAGATAAAATAATTTCTATCTCATCAAAATCTTAAAAAAATTTTTTTATTTGATAATTTTTACCCGTCGTTTCGGTGATATTTGTCCAATTCTTTAGGGATATCCCAAACTTCAGATTAAAAGGGATTATTTTTTTGTTTTCGAAAAGGCTTCTTTGAATCTTAAAAAAAAAACTGGTTTTTATTAAGATGGTTTTTATTATTTTTGTTTTTCATACTATAATTAGACTATAAATAAAATAAAATAATGTTATAAATAAGACATATAACATATTAAACAGAATAAACTGGTCAAGGTAGGTGACTCCTGTTCGAGTGCCTGTATACACCAATCATTATGAACCATGCTAAAATGTCTTTGTTGTGAATTATAGTAAAGTAAATAAAAAATAAAATTTTATCAAGAATATGTAGTATATAGTCTTTATATATATGTAAAGAATATATAAAAGCTTATAAGATGTTAGTTTTCCTTATTCATATATTTTTGAGATGTAGGATTTTATGATTGAAATCCTGTGTTTTAATTAAGCATAAGTGAAGATAATGTAAATAGACAATAAAGAGTTAGATAGATAGATAGATAGGTAGATAGATAGATAGATAGATGGATGGATTGATAGACGGACAGATAGGTAGATAGATAGATAATTTTTCTTAAGAATTGTTTTACTTCAACCTCTCTATGCAATTATAATTTTCGTAATAATTTTTTAAAATACCAAAATATTTAGGTAAGTAGACTTATTTAGAATTTGTGCGGAAACCTGCAAAAATTGTACTTTAAGAAATCTGTGTGGGGAGTCAAAATTAAATTTTATTTAAATTGAAATTCTGAAAATGTGTTGAAGCTATAAATTTCACAGTTTACACTGTGAAAAATAAATTCAAAATTTTTGTTGGTTTAATTTTAATAAATTTTTTATTTTTGCGTGTAAAAATAAGAAGTGCACGTATGCGTTTTCAGAGACGTGCTCCGAAAAGAGTGCATGCCCTCCATTTTGAACCGCACATATGGAGTTCATACGTAATTCTACAATTTTGGTTTACTACAAATAACCAATTTTTACAACCAACTATGCTCCTTATATGTAGGGAAAAACAACAAATATATGGAGATGTACTTTTTTGGTGAAATATTTCGATTTGGATCGCGACAAATTTTAGCAAATCGCACCAAATCTTATTACATTGCACTTCAATTAACAACATATATTACCTTTTAAAGGTACTCTCCATTTCACGCCTATTGCCCGCCCATCCCGTTTCTATCTTTTTCAACGATTTTTTGTTTGAGTTTTATTTGGTATTTTTCCTGCTTTCCTGCTTTTAGGAAAATGAGCACAGTTTCCTTGTTTGGCGGTGTAGGAAACACATTTTCTAATTACACAGTGACATAATTTAAATTAGTGAAATTCAGTTTTACAAAACACAAAACCAAAAAAATACAGGAAGGAAAACTTAGCTACTTTCAGTTGAATTTAAAAAAAAAAATAAAAAGATGAAAAAAGCACTTCTGAACCAGCAGCTGCAGGAGTCGCTTAAGCAAAAACAATAACAACAGAGCAGCAAATATCCTGTGTAAGCGGTAAACGCGAGAGCTATAAAGCCGTGAACACACACACACACACACACACACGTACACGTTAACATACTTTCATACATCGTCATGTAAACAACTGTATTTGTTTTACATACAAATACACACACACATGCATACTTACGTGCAAGTATTCAACGGATACTCATACGCTACGAAACTGTTAAATTCGCTTTGCTTTCAAAGCAGATAAAGTCGCCGACAGCGGAAAGAAATAAAACAAATATAAAAACAAAAACAAAAACAAAAATTCTGCATAAAAAATAAATAAATAAAAGGCAGTATGTACACACAGGACGCTGGTGTATGACGCGGGGCAATGTGAATAGCAGCATTTAAATGCCGTGGCAAAACAAAGCTAAGGTACATTTTACTACATATTTCATTATTTTCTTCCTTTTGGATAGTTGGGAATTACAAATGACACTCGGAAATTTTACTCATGGTACGGCGAACTGCGAGCTGCGAGCTGTGAGCTGTGAGCTTCATTTTACATAAGAGAATAGTAGCAGGAATATTTTATGGATTAAAAAAAGGCTTATGCCCATGCTTAAGTAAGTTTTTGTATAACCGTTGGCTTATAACTATATACGTGTGTGTGTGTATGTGTGTGTGCATTGTGAATGTATGTCAGGGAGATGAAATTATATATTACATAATATTATTCAAATAGTGGCGGCAAAAACTGAATTTCAGTTCGTATACCTAAAGTATCTCAACTCAGTTCAGTATTCCCTCACTTGCCCAGGGTTGACGTTTATTACGTTGGTTTCAGATTTTTAATGATACTTTATTTTTATTATTATTAATTTACTCTGTTTTTATTAATCTGTCTCAAAGGATATATTAAGCACAATAATAAATGAAACAAAGCATAATTAGCTATAGTAAGAATTTTGCGTAGCTCACCTGAAATGCAAGTTCTTGATTAACATTAAGAACATCAAATTTATTCTCAACGATTAAGGGATAAAGGCATGACAAGGTGTTACCAGATTAAAGATATCAAAAATTCATACAGAAAAAAGGCATGACAAGGTGTTACCAGATTAAAGATATCAAAAATTCATACAGAAAAAAAACTTTTTCACCGCATTTTTAAGTGTCTACTTTCACCATTAGCCTACTTTCCGCAACTAATGCTTTTACTTTGAGGACTTTAATCCTAGTTCTCTGAGTTCGCTTTCAGCTTTTCAACTATATTCTTGAAATTTTTTGGTTTAATGTAATTCTAGTGTGCTTGCTACAGTAAAATAAGGTGTGCTTTGCGTTGTCACAGTCTCCGCCACCATAAATGCAAACACCTTTCTCATGCGGTACAGGTACTTGCAATAGTATCTATGTCCAGTCAGCATTTGATTGAGATAGTAATTTGTGTCTCCAAATTTCCATTTGAGTGAAGTGATTATATTAGGTATCAATCTAGTTGTCCAACTTGTTTGCAAAATTATCTATGTCCGGTCAGCATTTGATTGATATAGTAATTTATGTCTCCAAATTTCCATTTGAGTCAGATTATTATATTAACTATCAATCTAACTGCCTTGTGCTATATTGTTCCAACTTCTTGTCACATTGCGCTGGTTTGCTCCTGAACTTGACTCGCCATTTCTTGAGTACAATAGCTCTCTAACAAGTATCAGGTGAAGATCAGGAGTAAACCATCGTAATATGACAAGAAAGTTGAAATAAGATAGATATTGAAAAACAAATTTCTTGTCAGAAACAAAATGTAGCTATGAATTAGAAACTATCTGCAAATAAAATAATATATATTTCCAATATATCTCAACAAACATATTTTATTTTGTTTCTTTTTTAAAATCAGAAATTTAATAAATTAATATTGTCACTTTTATGCATTAATTTAATTTATTTTAAAATAATATACATGATTTTATTAAATTTATGCAAATTATTAATGACGTAAATTGTCGAGACCTCGAGCAATATCATTTCTCCCATTTTTACGAGTTTATTTAATGCTTGAAATATTTTTTAAGTTTAAGTTATATCATTTCCATTATTTTAAAATTTATTATTTTTAATATACTTTATAATTGCCATTGATTTATAATATTATTCAATGGTTATTTTTATCTCAAATTTTTGTATTTCAAATATTATTATTTTTATTTTTTGTTTGTTAAAATCATTAATTTTGCATTAGTTAATGTTAATGTTAATCTTCATCAACATTGTTATTATT